ACTCTTTGATACCTGTTTTTGAGGTATGATTTGATCCATTCATTAGCTTTGCCAGTTATTCCATAGAAATTTAATTTCGATAGTAAGATATCATGATTTACACAATCAAAAGCTTTTGCTAAATCACAGAAAATCCCTCCCACATCTGTTATTGAGAGCATTTAAAATATCGTTGGTTAGCTCATACGTTGCTTTTTCTGTGGTTTTGTCTTTCCTAAATCCAAACTATTCTTTGACTAATATGTTGTTAGAATTTAAGTGTTCAAGTAATCTGTTATATATAACTTATTCAAAGACTTTTGAGAATAAAGCCAGTACAGATATTGGTCTATAGTTAGAAATGCATTTTCTCTCGCCTTTTTTAAAAAGTGGTTTCACTACAGCATATTTTAAGCGTTGCGGAAAAATCCGATGATAAAGATTTATTACACAAATGATTCAACGGTGAACTGATGTAAACAGAGCTTGCTTCAAGTAAATTGGTAGAAATTTCATCATATCCATGTGAATTTTTGGGCTTAAGGGATTTAATAATGTTTTCATTTTCCTTTATTGTTGAGAATTTGAGATTTATATTTGGAAGTTAACTATTAAAGGAATGTGACAGATAATATATTGGATGATTATTATTATTATTATTAAGATATGTTTTTTTAACTAATGAGAGGAAATATTCATTAAATACATTCGCAATAGCTTGTGGATTATTAATAGACTTTCCTTCAATATTCAAACTTTGTACATCTTCATTAACAGTTTTATTTCCCGATTCAACTTTCACAATATCNATTCAACTTTCACAATATCCCAGGTGGTTTTAATTTTATTGTTTGATTTTAGAATTTGGCTGTTATAGTTATTCTGTTTGGCTTCTTTAATGACTTTTGACAAAATTTTACAGTACATTTTGTAGTGACTTTTTAGTCTTGGATCATTACTGTCCCTACTGGCCAAATATAGGTGTTTTTATGTTTACATGAAGTTTTTATTCCAACAGTTATCCAGGTGGTTTTGTTTTCAATGTAATTTTTTACTATTTTTAAGGGAAAGCTTGAATAAAAGATCCTCAAGTATGTGTTCAGAAAGCAATTACATTTAGAATCAATAGCACTGCTGTCAAATACAGTGTCCCAAGATTCATTACTTAATTTTGTGACAAAATCTGCCATCATATGCTTGTTGATTTTCCTTACTGTTTTATATTGTTGATTATTGGGCTGAAGGTTAATATTATTTATTTCTATGAGTTAGGCCTCATGATCGGACAAGCCATTTATAAAGGGTCCTACAGTAAAGTCTCTTATTTTTTAGTTATCAATGAATATATTATCTATCGCTGACCCAGAGTTATTTTGAATTCTTGTGGGAAAGTTAACAGTTCTGGAGAGATTCTAAGATAATAACAAAGAATCTAAGTTTAGTTTCCTATTACTATCGATGAGATAGTTTACATTTATATCACCAAAAATTAGAAATTCAACTTTTGGACTATGCAGTACACTGAGGATGGTTTCTAATCTATCTAAGAATTGATCAAAATTCCCAGATGGGGCTCTATATAAAGTCAGTACACAAATATCAGAAAAAGTAGAGTCTAACTTTAAAGCACAGGCTTCTAGATCCTGATCTTTGCAATAATCTTCTAAATTTATTTTTGTAAATTTCACGTTTTTATGTACAAAAATACTCACTCCTCCTTTCTCTAGCGTTTGTCTACAATATCTAGCTCCTAAATTATAATTTTCTATGTGAAAATGTTCTAATACCAGCTGCTTCATGTGATGTTCAGTAAGGCACAGTAAGGAGACTTGAATGCATGAAGCTTATTAATTAATTTGATTTATTTCTCAGTCCCCTTATATTCTGATAGAACACTCTTAGTACTTTGTTTTGTACTGATTTTATCGAGCTTTTATTTCCTTTCTTGATTTCTATTTCTTGGCATTTATTACTAGCTGAAGGATTATTTTCTTTTGTAATTTCTTTTACTTGGTAAACCTTACTTGCACTGTTTAACCTAAAAAAGGATTCTGAACACCCATGACAACTGGAATGTGTCTGCCCTTAAAGCTCTCTGCAATGAGTTGCGTGAGCTTGTCCTTGCCTTGAGGATTAAGATGCAGACCATGGACAGTATGCTCATCCTCACTATTGAAGAGACATCAATCCCATCAATGTGAGTCCTGCCAATCCCCATAAGCGAACTCTCAAGTCGAAGATAAACGTCCCTTACCCACCTGTTAATCCATGACTTAACATGTTGCCAGAGAAGACCAACGAACTTCACATTGGTGTGACTGGTTTTTTTGAGCAATGTCACTTATGTCATTCTCAATTTGGTAACTGAGGTTCCTATCTAAACTGTTTCCTGGCCCCCCAACTATAACTATTTGATCTTCTTTATTAAGATCCTTACATAAATTTTCTATGTATTGTATGTACCTATTGTTATTAGAAATTCACTTTCCTCAAAGACAGCGGAACTTCAGCTTTGAGGAGGAGATGATGGAAAATTCTAGAATGACTGTACAGTGTGTTGTAATAAGACTTCTGACAGTAACTTACTACAGTAGCTCTGCAACATATAAAAGTTGTCTATGGCCCTACCAAGTAGCTGAACAGGTTTCCACAGCTCCACCATTCTTAATCTCAGTACTATATGAACAGAATTGGTTAGCTTCACACCCCTGCTTCTTTGGCCCGAGGGAAATAGCCCTAAGTAACGAATGTACGGGCACCTAATGGAAGGTTTACATACACAAGTGAAATATGTTGTGAAAAGCAGTAGTAGTAAATGAAGTGTAATACAATACCTAAAGACTGGTTGGATTAAATCATGGAAGTTCTAATCAAGCCTGCATTACCAGTTCAATGACAGAGAAATGCTTCAACAAAATTTGTACCTCTGATATCCTGAAAGTGAATTGTCATTCAGCTTTGGCAACAGCTCTTGTGCTTCCCTCTGCACATTAAAGTTGTCAGAAGGTTTTGATTCAGCCTGGCAGTTTGATATGTCACACTGAGAAGCCTCATCTACCTGCACACAGTTCATTGGAGATTCCGTCCATGAAATGCTGGACAGTCCTAGTAAGCAACAAATCAATATTCTGAAAGTCCATAATGCTTGTAACATAAGACATATAATTTAACCTTTTGTATCTTACATAAAATAGTTGTGTGTTGTTTCTTTGGTTGCTGTCGGTACATCAGCTGTCTGGCCAAAACCTAAAAGAGGGAACTCCCAGATATGAAATATGTAACTGGCCATTACATACCTGCATAAGTTCCACTCTCTAGGGCAAATGTTCACTAAATGTGGGTATTCTAAATCAGGATTTCACTATATTAATTAATATGACATTTATAAAATCTTGGTTTGTAGAATTTACCTGTTATTTTAAGAGCGTCTGCAGTTTTCAAAACTCCTTGAATATTTTCTTGTGCCACATATGCTTCTCCCTTATATATGAAGTCTAAAATTGTTTTCATTTCCACAAATTTTACATCCCTCATGAATATTATTGGATGTGGTGCTGTATTAGATCGCAGAATGGAGTTCAAATATCGACTGAAAAGAGTAAAGTTGGACAGAATGAAATCCCTTGACTGTTCAAATTTTAAATACCATTTAAGAACTCCATCACCACTGTCATCATCATCATCCACTGCCATAACTATTCATTTTAAAGACACCCTCCTACCAACTTCTCAGCCTTCTAGGTAATCATTTCCCAAAGAGCTTTCCCACTGGCTACAGGCTGCACAACTGACAGGGGTCAGAGTTTGGGTCCTGGTAAGGTCAAGAATTTTCTTTTCTCCACGTCGTTCAGACTAGCTCTGAGGTCCAACCAACCTCCTATCCAATGGGCATCGGGGTCTCTTCCCCCAGGGATAAAGCAGTCAGGGCGTGAAGGTGACCACTCACCTCCATCTAGTGCCGAGGTCAAAGAATGTGGATCTATACATCCAATCCACCAAGCGGCCTCCGTAGTCTAGGGGTAACGTTCCCACCTCATGACTGAAGGTACGCGGATTCAAACCCGGTGGAGGACGTGGAATTTTTAAGGGTGGAAAAATTCAGGGAACAAGTCCTCTGGGAGGGACTTTAAGCCGTGGGTCCCGTGTCGTAGATTTACGGCATGTAAAAGATCCTCATGTCTCTAGGAGACCTCTGAGCAAAATTAGGCAAAAGTTTCCTGCCCAAGTAGTTTCCAATGCCTCTGGTAGATGGGGAAGTATCGGGTACCACTGCCAGAAGAGGGCCGACCTCGCTAGCAGAATGGGGCTGATAGCGAGCACCAGTACTGGAAGGGTATGGCGACAGTAGAAATTAAAGGGGGACGCACAATGGACCAATAACTGGTTTAAGTGCATGGGGAAACCCACCCCCTCTAATAATGAATGAATGAATGAATCCTTTCCCCCATACACCTTCATGGAGCAGCACTTAATTAGTTAAGCATAGAGACAACTTTACCCTCCTTGTCCCTTGTCCCAACCCATCATAGCCTCCTACAATTCACTATCTTATTCACACCAAATTAAAATGGAAATTACTAGCCACATATGACAGCTCAAAAAGAAAAGTGACCAGCTACAAGCTAGATCTGCACTTTCCAAAGTTTATGTCATGGCGACATATGAGAGAATAAAGGTATAGCTCTACACAGTCTTAATCATAGCACTAGATGGACATGGGTGGTCAGCTTCACATTCCAGTTATGTTCCCCCTGGAAGAGGCCTCTGTACAAACTGGACAGGAAGCTAGATGAGACCTACAGCCAATATGGATGGTGCATTAAAGAGAAAAATACCTTTCCCTTACTGGGAATTTATCCTCAGTTAAACAGTTTTGCACAAATCTATCATGGACCCTAAAATACAGCTAGCTGCTTGGCTTTCTGGAACATCTTGTTGAAATCTCTTGACAGCACAGTGTACTTAACTACATACATTTACACATAAGACTTCAAGTTTAATTGCCATGTGAGATCTCATTAATAGCTAGTGACTGTGGTCGGTACACTCTACAATGGTCACAGCCTCTTCATGTTGTACACAGGGCCAAATATGTGGAAATCTATCCATACCTACTGGCACAAAGGACAACACGATGTGCTTTAAGAAGCTGTCCTTCTACAGCAATAGTGACATCCACAAAGCTCTCAGTCTCAAGCAAATTATCCAAGGAACTCAAAAGTTCCAGCTGACTATTCCACTTGAGCCACAGATCTGACATGCTGGAACCAGATTTTTCTGCAATGAGTGAATATGAATGAATGTAAGAAGCTGAAATGCATCTGAGGGTTGATTAGACACCAACCATTGACATTATGTAGTGTCAAATGAGATATGTTAGGATGACTAGAAATAATGACCTACTTAAGAGCTGTTCTTGTATATGCATGGAGGAACTCAAAGAGCAAAAAAGTATCAGTCAGGTTGCCTGGTCTACAACCAGAAATCAAATATGTTACTGATACTTTCATTTTATATGACTAAAAGCTGGTAAATGCAGGACACAACAAAAAGCAATTTAAATAGTTCCCATGCTTTAACACTTATCACAAAGATTTAAGGAAATCACCCTCTGAAGGACACAATTTAAAATATATTAATCTGATAAACTATTAAATTATGAATTACATTTGTTAGCTTTATTTGTATTCAGTGGAATCTAAAATGTTGTGGCAGTCTGTATGCATGCGTGTATGTGTAAATGTTTTAATATATATAATATAGGAGGTTAATTATCAAGGTATAAAGAAATTTCAGTTTTGCCTTATTGGTAAACCATAATCCTACTTTACATTTTGGCCAGATCAAACTATAAAAATATGGAATGTCTCTCTCTACATATACTCACCTCCACACTCCCACGACACATACTACATAGCGCTTATGCCAAGGGAATTTCATAAAGTCCCTGGTTCTTTAAACTAACTCCATGGAGATGAGCCCTTCTTGAGAAGCCACCAATTGTGCAGCTACTCAAGGACTTCCCAGCATTTTATGGAACCCAAAGGTTCATTACCATGTTCACAAGAACCCTCCAGTGGTCCCTATCCTCAGTCAGATTGAGCCAGCCCATATCATCCCATCCCATCTAATATTCTAATATTCAGTATCGAGAGGAACTGAAGCGATTATCCAAGCAGTTGTTATTAGCCAAGCAAAATGCGCAGGAGATATTTTTAAGGACTGTATTAAAAAATGAAGGTAACTGCTGGACTGAGTTCTATAAGTATGTAAAAAGACGCAAAGGAAATAGAGAAAATATTCCTGCAATCAAAGATGTTAATGGACGACTCGTTACTGATTCGATAGAAGAGGCTTACTTCCTCAACTTATATTATTCTTCCGTATTTAGCAGTGAGCGTAGCATCCCGCAAATACAGCACGATATATCAGGGGAACCCTTCGCAGTTAGTACAAAAATTATTAGGAAAAGGTTAGCAGCGATAGGTAAGAACAAATCAGTAGGGCCAGACAGCATTTCTGGTGAAATTCTAAAACTGAGTGGGGAAGCCATGATTCCATACCTGGCGCGATTACTGGATGTGACGATTAATAATGCCGCTATTCCAAGTGATTGGAAACAGGCCATAGTGGTTCCTGTTTACAAGGGAGGTGATCGATCGCTGGTCTCCAATTATAGACCCGTCAGTTTAACCTCAGTAGTATGCAAGCAAATGGAACACGTTATAGCATCGTACCTGAGGAAAATATGGGATAAAAATGATTGGTTATTTGAGGGTCAGCATGGCTTCAGGCCGGGATATTCATGTGAAAGTCAAGTAATCACGGTCTACCAAGACATTGCAGACTCACTGGATAACGGAAGTAGGATAGACACAATTGTAATAGATTTTTCGAAGGCCTTCAATTTAGTTTGTCATGATCGTCTGCTTACGAAAATTGCGGCCTCAGGAATGGACTCAAGGGTAGTTATATGGATAAGGGAATTCCTTTTGGGCCGTACGCAGAGAGTCAAGAGTAGGAGGGCAACTATCGGAGGAAGTCAGAACAACATGAGTACCGCAAGGAAGCGTGCTGGGCCCACTACTGTTCCTCGCCTACGTCAATGATATTTGGAGAAATATTGAGTCAACTATTAGGCTATTCGCGGATGACTGTATAATATATAGGAAAATTAAAAATAATAATGATAAGGAAAAGTTGCAGATAGATCTGAACAGACTTGGGAAATGGGCGGTTGAAAATGAGATGAAAATTAATCCAACTAAAAGTAAGGCAGTTTGTTTCACAAGGGCTCGAGTAACAGAGCCACTAAATTATTTGTTAGGGGGCACAGTAATCCCAGAAGCGAGCAGCTGTAAATATCTGGGAATAATTTTACGCAGCGACCTAAGCTGGTCTGATCAAGTTAATTACACTGTGAAAAGAGCCTGGAAGGCACTTCATTTTACAATGCGTATTCTAAAAAAGGGAAATAGCAAAACTAAAAGTCTAGCATACACATCTTTAGTGCGTCCGATTCTGGAATATGGGGCGGCGTGCTGGGATCCTTACAGGGAGGGACAGATAAATGCGTTAGACCAGGTGCAAAAGAAAGCGGCTAAATTTGCACACCATAAGAATGAATCGAACTGGGAAACCTTGAAAGAGCGCAGAAAGATAGCTCGCATATGTGCTCTCTTCAAAGCATACACAGGAGAAGGGGCTTGGAAGGCTATAGGTGACAGATTAGAAACACAGTGCTATCTGAGCAGGGGTGATCATGGCAAGAAAATTAGAAGTAGAAGGCAACAGACAGATATCGGGAAATACTCCTTTGTAAATAGGACCATAGAGCTCTGGAACCAACTACCTGCAGATGCTTTAGGTACTCTGTCCTGTAAACCAAGCAATTTTAGGCAAAGGGTTAGGAAAGTGATAAATGAGGAGAAGTGAAGTTGGGGTGGAAATAATTACAAGGAAAAAAAGTGAAGTGAATGACATTACGCATCCATGACTGTTGGTTTCCTTTTGTTTGTGTTTTGGGTGTTGTATTTTTTTTCTCTCTCTCTCTGTAATTGTTATTGTATTTGTTGCAGTTGTTTGTATTTCTCTGTAATTGTTGTAGTTGTTAATCATATTCGATTTGTATTCAATGTGGTAGGATGTCCTTATTGTGTTGTTTTGTTTGAACGTTTTGTCACTTAGTGCAATGTGTGTTACTTGTCTGTTGTGTCCTATTGTGTACTACTGCCACAGGGCTAAAATCCAATTGCAGTATAATAAATAAATAATATTATCCACCCACCCACCTACATCTTGGTCTTCCTACTGGCTCTGTCCTTCTGGCCTTTCCACCAATATCCTATATGCATTCCTCTTCTCCCCCATTTGCACTATATGCCCATCTCATCCTCCCTGACTGCAACATTTTAATTATACTTGGTGAAAAGTACAAGTTATGAAGCTCTTCATTATGCAGTTTTTCTCCACCTCCTATCATTTCATCTCTCTTTGGTCCAAATGTTCACCTCAGCACCCTTGGTCCATGTTCCTCCCTTAATGACACAGACCAAGTTTCATGCCAAAACAGAACCTCATGCAAAAATAGTTTCGTATTTTCTAATTTTCATGTTTCTAGACAGCAGATAAGAAAACAAAGGGTTCTGGACTGAATGGTAGCAAGCATTACACGAATTCAGTCTCCTCTTAATTTCATTCTGCATTAAATTTTGATTTCTTACAGTCTTTCCCAAATATTTGAACTGTGCCACATTCCCAAAGCATCTCTTAGCTATCTTTATGTCATGATATTGCCCTGCATTCTGGTGATGGGACAGCAACATATACTTAAGTTTCTCTGTGTTTACATCTAGACCAACCTCCTTAGTAGGATCAATTACAGTTTGCTTTTTTCTTTATGGTATATATGTTATCAGTCAGTAGATGAACATCAGCAGCACAGACCAGCAGCTGATGCATCCCATTTAATTTCGGTCTCACCTGGTTTTCATGGACCTTCCTGATGGCATATCCTAAAGCACAGTTTCAAAGCAGTGGCGATAAAGCGTCTTGTTTTAGACCATTCTGGGTAGGAAAGTATCAGACAGATGTTTACCTATATGTGCGTTATTATTTGCTTCATTTAAACATATTTTAATCGGCCTAACTAGTTTCACGGGTACCCCAAACTCTATGAGAATCATGGGTTCCTTGAAGTCTTGTAGTGTGATGTGTAGTAATAGGTATAGTTAAATAACTAGTGAATTGTATGGATCATACTAATACACCACTGTCAAGCAATGAAACTAAAGGCTAATTAATTTTACTGTACAAAATGAAACATTAATTCAGGTCAATAACAAATAAATTGTACGCCATATTTCAGCGCCTTACGCCAAACGACAACTTGCCACAGAATTCTAAACGCAATAACTTAACATTTAAATTCTTACGGCAATATTAACTCAAAACTTGCTCCTGCAGCTTACTTCTCTTAAGTTCTAGATTTCTAGATTTTCTAGTGCTAGATCTTCTAAATTTCTAAATCTTCTCGGTCAGGGGGCGGAAACTGGATAGGGGAAAGGGAAACACGGTAACTACGTTGTGAGCAGTTGTGAGCGTTGTGAGGGACAGTCAATTTATACTACTAAAGTCATGCTGTTTATGTTTATCAGTGTGAAAAATTAGTACATTCATACATTTTGTGGAGTAATACCTATTTTCTTCGAAATCTAAACAAAAGAATATGCTCTACATTTTCTAGTTTTTCTTGACGAGTTCACAACTTCGTTTTTCATCTCAAAGTAGACTCTTTAGTAAGGTATCTGACTCCAAGCGATTTGAAAGTCGCCATTTTACTGGCCTCGGACCCAAAAAGTGAAGTTGGGGGGTAAGATAGTTTAGAGCGTTTAGAGAGTTACAGAGCGTCGTTGGTTGTGAAACACGGTGAACGTGTCGAAAGTAGTGCATATCAAGGATCAGAAACATGAGAAATATCTGTTGCATACGCAATAAAACTTCATAATATTTCACGGTTAGACGTAAATAGTGAATTAGTCTCACACCAGTTTATGTTGCGGGAAGGTAAGTTTATATAATTCACGCACTATTCAATGAAGTTTAGTGTATTTCACATCGCACACGATAGAAGGAACAATGTCGCTCCCCCACAAATGTGATGAACGAAAGAATGTAACCAATAACATATTAGGCGGTGTGTTTGGTGTTTTATTTCGGTGTTAGAGAGATTGGTTTTGTTCCAGAGCGTTTTCAGAGTTTTGTATGTAAAGTTACTGATTTGCAGTATACAGGTTTTCGGTATTACAGTTTTTATACGATCGATAGCACGTAGGTAGTGACGGTAAGCGTTTCAGACTTTACAGCAAAATGGCGGATCCCGTATTAGCGAGGTTAGTAATGGCAAGAGTTTCAGATTTCACATCAAAATTGTCTATCAAGTATTAGAGACTATTTGTGTAATTTTGGCATTTTTCTTGGCAGAAGCCTTGAAGCACCGGTTAGGCATGAATTCATAACAGACTGCACGTGTAGCAGTATAAAGTTTCTCATTTACATTTATTTCCGTAGATCCATACAAAGTACAAGGATGTGAAAATTCTCATAATAAAAAAAAAACAGTACAGACATACATATAGTTAAATAACACTACCCAATATCAATACATTTATGGGCACAAAAACAACGATAAAAACTTAATACTAAAAACTATATATGATTAATAACTTATTACAAAGAAATTATATCTTTATCATATTCAAAATGCCGCCGCAGAATGCAGTTGAAGTAATACTGTAATTGTGTGTGTAAGAATAAATATGTGTGAAGTTATTTGTCTCGTGATATACCCAACATGTGACAATATTCTTTCAGTGTATAAAACGAATGGCAACACAAAAGACCCCTCAAAGCCGATTTAAAACATTTGCAATTTTTATATAATTGCTTTAAGTATGAAGGAAGATTATTAAACATCTTTATATCCATATAGCAAGTTCCCTTCTGATATAGTGATAGATGAGCTGAGGGTTGTGTAAGAGTTACTTATTGGGGCTTCGCGTTTCCTCGCGTTGTGTGCTACACTTAGCTGCTCTTTTGCACTGTCGTTATTGATATGAAGTTGGGTGCTGTTACGTGGTCTGGGAACCACGTTGAAGTATTTGTAATATGGAAAGAATGCCCTAGGTCTTGAGTCTGTTTTGGGTCTTAGCGGGCCTTGCTGAACGAGAGGGGATCACACACACAGTGAAGAAGTCTTCAGACCACCACAAAGCACTGGTAGTTGATACACTTCCCGAAAGAAGTGATGTATATAGGAACGTTCTGTAGTTCAAAGATTCTGGGCATATTGAAGTTGCACATAAGTTACTTGTCATAATGGTGTGAATAGTAAGGTTACCTTAACCTTTATTGGGCGAACGTCATATGATGTCATTAAAAGTTAGGGCAGCTGGCCGAACGTCATCATATGATGTCACGGATTCCACGCGTGTAAGGTTTTTTTTAATATTATATTAAAAATATAAATTGTTGTTCTATTTACATGATTTTTGGTCACCACCTTTATAATGAGACAGCCTTCGTTCCTGCATGATCAAATGTAATCTAGGGACGTCATATGACGTTAAAAGTAAGGACAAATTTAAGAACGACATCATATGATGTCGCGCATTCCACGCGTGTAAAGATTTTTAAATTAAATTTAAGATATAAATTGTTCTTCTATTTACATAATTTTTGGTCACAACCTTTATAAGGTGACAGCCTTCCCTCCTGCGTGATCTAATGTAATCTACCGAC